TGAATATATCGTGTGAATAACAAAATTAACCCATGTACTCTTATGTAACCCCTCCATATAACTATGAGCTACCTCCTGCCTAACACAATGCCCCAGGAGCTATGTTTACTCGCAAAAATTAAGCACGGTAATGTGCAGACACTTGAAACATTTCTACTGCCCCTCAGAATCTGTCCCTGCTACACAAGTCACTGTCACATGCATTGGAGACCATCTCACGTGACATTTGCCTGTCCTTGTTGCATGGGTGCTCTCAGCTACTCTGCACAAAGGTGGGGCTGGCTTCTGGAGCAAAATGTCCCACGCTTGCTATCAAACTGCCATTGTTGATGGGCTGCTTGAAGATCCTGGACTGTTGCGTGACTCCATTTTGCATGTGTCAAGTGCTGCCTGAAGGAGGCTGTTGGTCATGGCAGTTTCTCTCTTGTTTTGAAATATCAGCTGCAGTGTGTCAGTAACCTAACTGGGGGCTGTTCTTTATAGGTCTGCTCCTGTCACCTACAACGTGGTCAAAGGGCAGAAACGCTCAAACATGGTCACATGGCCCAGGTGCTACATCAAGCTCAAAGGGAGCGATGTCTCTGCCTGGTGATGGCTTCATAGATTAGGACAGTTACTTTGAAGTCATTGCAGGGGTTGAACCCATGCAGGAGTTGAACCAAGGCCTTGCTCAGTATCACTAGCAAGATCTGAAGGCAAGTAACTGCAGTCCGAACAGCAGCATACAAATGCCACTGGCAAGAAGTGTTGGCCCTTCTAATGATTTTTTTGGATTGGATGCCCAATAATGTTGAAACGTAACATGCTGTTGAACACCTGCTCCACTCGTGGAATCTGTGTCCACCCTGGTGATGACCACCAATGACATTTTTCTAGCTGATGGATTACCCTATCTCACCAACAAGACCCCCTTTTTAAAACCGACGGGGAGCCTTACACTTTTGTCTCCAGGTCTCAGGCCTGGAATTCCTTCTGTCTTCTTGAGTCGGAGACTAAATCCCTGGCAAGCCATAATGCTTATGTGGCTTTGTGAAGTATTCAAGCGAGAGGCAATGCTGTTTCCAGCCCCTGAGAGGTGGTTGATTTTTTTTTTTTTTAATGCACTCACCTCTTAAATTACTGTGTTGAGCTCATTGTCATTCTGACGTTAACTTCGTAGGGATAACAGCGAAGGATAGTGCACCTTTAAATGACGAGCTTTGTGTTTAATTACCCAAATCAAATGACATAAATATGAATGAGCACTAATGATGGTACTTGGTTTTTCCGGAAACCATTAACAAAACGATTCTTAAATGATTTGTAAAGAAAATGAGAGGAGAAAAGAGGAGCAAGAAGGCTATTAGGCATCTAACACACTCCTGAATTATTATATAGTCAACTACCTAGCAACTATCAGGCTAAATGATCTTGCAAAAAAAATTTGTGGCTGAGGCTTTTCATGGTTGTAGACACCTTGACCTGTTGTGTTATGCTCACATCTACTAAAATGGGGGTTAGGTGTCTTGGTTGGTTATGGACTCAGAGGACTGACAAAGTGCTGTAGTGACAATGTGCGGTTTCTCTTAGATGTCAGACTAGAGGATCATGCGGGCCCCTCGTGGACCTGCACATCACGGGCAACAGAACCTCACCCACCCACTCCTGTCATAGACCTGTCCTCTCTGGCTTAGTTACTAAAATCCTCAAATAATGATTTAAGGACATCAAATTGCAGACAATCCACAATTTACTCCAGTTCACCAGTGACCCGTGCTAAACAGGAAGGTGAAAACTTCCTTTCCCTTGTAAACTGCCCCACATAACTGCTGCTTTGACTTGGAAATAGAGGAGTTTGGTTTCATAGGTTCTAATTCTACTTGAGGAGCCTTTATTTTACAAAAAAAGAAAAGTAAAAGGGTTGAGGAGTAGCTAAATGCAGGAGCCCAGGGAATACACTTAGCATTGACTCTGAATCTCTTTGTGACTATTTCCCATATCACCAAACCATTCTATAATCTAGTACAACAGATGCTCTTCTCCAGAGAAGCCAAGTCCCAGAATCCTGGCAGTGGAGCATTTGGTGTTGCTCTGGTCACTGCTGGGAGAATCTCACTTTCTCCTAAACTTGCTGGGACTTTAAAAAGAACACAGAGATAACAAGTACGCTGGTGCCTTAGATCCGTAAGAGCAGCTTTGCCTACTTGTGTGTAGGGGCTGATGGATGTGTGACCGATAATTGTGCTGTCACTGAAGGGACCCCTCTGAAAGCTCTAGGGCATGGGCCCTGATCGTAAAAGAGGTTTTTGGAAATCGGGGGTAAAGTTTGTCATTCCATTGCCTCATGAGAAAGAAGAGGTCACCAGCCCTCTGAGCGGAGGCACCTCTTAGAGTAAATAACCCACAGCGCTAAGTGTTTTAAACTGGAGCTACTGCCTCCATGTTTCCATTTAATCACGTTAAGAAAGGAGGCATAGAACAAGTACATCATTCTCTGACTTCTGCTAATTGTTAGTTGCATTCCATAGCCATAAAAGTTAACTGCACCAGGAAATCACAAAGGATCTTCTTGCCTAATATTTTACCCACAGTTGCCAGTAATTGCTAATTAAGTTTCAGAAATGGTAGCATTGGGAGCAGGACAGTGCAATCTGTCAATGGAAGTTCCATAGGACCCCAGTGCACATTTTGGAACCATTTCAGGGACACTCGCTGTTTGTTTGCAGGCGTACTTATGGGATAACAATAAGGATCTAGTGGAGTGGCTGGAGAAACAGCTAACAGAAGAAGACGGCATTCGCTCAGTTGTGGATGAAAACATCAAATACATCTCCAGAGACTACATACTCAAACAGATACGCAGGTAAGCCAACTACTGATTTCCTGAGGCAGAGCTCTAGGACAAAACCCTCACTGCCCCCTTTAGTAAGTAGAAAAGCTCTCTCTACATAAGGGATTTTTTTCCTAAAATTTTCTGAGGTTGTAGTAACAGTGAAAGTTGTCATTTCACCTTTTCGGACGAGGTCTGGAGATGCAGCAGTGGGAAATTTTGGGACAGGGAGCACTAGTGTAGGCAATAAGACCAAAGCAACTAGAATTTGGCTATCAAGGTCTCAGTCCATCCAGGTAATTATACAGCCCTCCTCACAGCAGTTTCAGAACACCAGTGAATTTGTGAGGTGTTTTAAATAAAGGGACAGGGTGAGGTTGAAATCAAGTTTTTTGTTTAAATAAATGCACTTAGATTGTTAAAACTGAGCAAATTTTAGAAATCTAACCTTAAAGTTTTTACTTGCTGTCATATAAAGTTGATTGGATACAAAACCTAAATGTGACTGTTTTTACAATACATTTTGAGTTCAAGGTGCCTGTAGTCTGTGAAAGACACTCAGCTCAAAATGTCAAAGGCCCTGCTTCAGCCCCACTGACATTAAGAGCACACTTTGCTGAAACAAGGTCATGGAAGCCACAGTAAAACAGTTGTGGTGTTCCCCATATTGATACAAATATAGGAAAATTAAAGTGGTTCCATTCTCTAAATGTGAGGGGGTAGTGAGGAAAGCTCTCTGAGCTACACTACCCTACCATCTCCTGTTAAAGGCTTAGCAGATATTTGGTAGGGCACAATGTTGCTGCAGGCTTTCTTGGATACGATTTCTTCTGTTTCTCAGTCTCACCTAAAGGATGAGTTCTCTGTTCCCTTCCACAAATCCTGCTGCTGCTCAAGTACAAGAGTACAGAATATGCTAGCTGCCTCCCACCCTAGCTTTTCTCTGGGGAAACTGGACCCAGTTTCTAACATCCCTTTTATTCTGATTAATTTTCAAAGATCATGCAGCAGGACACTGTGTAATCCAAATGTTGACACTATTTTCTCTCTTGTTAGGTACCAAAATGCAACTTTATTACAGACTGGAAAGCCTCCAGAGGCTTGCAGCCTTTCCCCAAAACTAGAGTTAGAGGGGAATGTGAGGTAACAACCAGGGAGTGCAAATGACATGACTGTGAGCAGCCTTCTGCATCAGGGAGCGCAATGCTCGCCGCCGCCTCTTTCTACCCATCACAATCCTTGACCCTGCCCTGACTTTATTCTTCGGACCCTCTTCCTCTTCAAAATGCCATTGGCACTCACGTGTACATTGTGCATTGCTTGGTGCTGAGACTCTGTCCTCATCGTTAATCTAAGAGCTCCTTGAGCTCAGTTCGTAATAAACCTCTTGCTGGCTTGTCCAGACACTTTTAAAAATCCTCTATTTCAATTACCCTTTAGAGCAGGGAAATGAGAGCAGGTGAAAATCTTCAGGCTTACAGTTTGCACACTGGGCTGTACTCCGCTTGCTAAATTTCTCTGCCAAGTTGGACCAGGAGAAAGGGGCTAGCAGTTGGGGTGAGATGGGTGCCATTGCTAACCCTCTTGTCTTTGCAGCTTGGTGCAGGCCAATCCTGAGGTTGCCATGGATTCCATCGTCCACATGACCCAGCATATATCCCCTACCCAGCGAGCTGAGATAGTGCGTATTCTTTCAACAATGGACTCACCTCCTTCAACATAAGAGCATCTGTTTCCCACCCTCTTCCTTTTCCTGCGACAAAAGGCTCAGAGTTGCCCTTTGTCTGCTCAGTGGTGAACACTGTACTGAGAAGAGGAAGCAAAAGGAAGAATGGTATTTTTAGTTTTTAAAATCACACTGACCCGAGGGAGCATGCTCTCTGGCCCCAGAGACATAAGGAAAACAAAACTGCTGAGGAATTAACTTATGGATGTCTAACTGTACCTTATTTATTTAACAAAGAGTGACTGGACCAATGCATCAGCTAGCTGTGTGGCTGCCTTCTGAAAGCAGTAGGAAAAGGCAATGAAGGGTACTGTGGTACCATGAGGTCTTAGAGCAGCAAAGTAAGGGCTTTCTTACACTATGCCCTTCTCCCACACACCCCCAGTCTGGTGATGGTGGTCTTGTTTCAGCAGACAAATGTGCCAGTGGCATGCTGGCTGGTCAGGGGTTTGTTAAACGCACATGGGAAAACCGTATTCGTTCGTGGCTCTGTTACGCTGGGGAGGAGCTAATCCTGCTCTCCTCTCTGATGGTCGCAAGTTTCATTACATGTCCGTCTTGGTTGTTTACTTCGTACCTGTTATTTCAGTATTTTCATTCCAGGAGCTATACTGCAGGCTTTCACGGTCTCAGACAGGGCAGAGATGAAGTAGTATCCTGTAAAAAGAAAAATACTTAGAAAAAGCTACCATTTGCCATGGATCCAGTTTATGACAGTAATAATTATGACCTATCACACGGGTTAATTCTGGTCCCCTCTCTCGTGTGTCTGCAGAACTATATTTATATTCTAACTGCACATTCACAGGCTATTCCGTTACTTATTCATTCTGTCTCACCTAGGAAGCAAACGATCATTCCATAAAGATGGGGGAAAGTGGCAAAAGTTAAAGTCACAGAAATACTGAAATTAAAACCAGCTCTCTGTCTCACAACAATTTTTTGTACTCTGTTACCGAAAGTGATGTTTTTAAAATGAAAAACGCAGCTGCTCAGGCTCTTGTGTGGACAGAGGCATTTCTGAGCTCGTTAGAAAAATGTAAATGGGAGTCTGGGTAATGTTTGTATATTGGGCTTTTTTCCCCTCCCTTACCATTTTAAATGTGTGGGAGTCCTCCATCCATGTACTGAGGAGCTAATGGCTATTACCCTAACAGCACCATCTATTCACTTGATCCTACCCTTCAGCAAATTGTCATTTTCTTTCTTGTCTAATACTTCTATTTATTTTTCATTTGACAGACTGACATGGCTAAGTAAGGCTGCACTTAAACCCCCCCTTTAAAAAAAACAACTTTATCCCAAAACTTTCTGGGAAGGTTTGACACAGAGGAGGCCTGGTAAGAATGTCATCATTGGGAGTTCTGCACAAGGATTTTAAATTGCTTTGGCAGCTAGGTTGATTTCTCCTCCCCCAAAAAAACCCCAGCCTGTATTTTTACTGAGGGTTCCTGGTGGTGATATAGATGACAGCACAACATCTAGTCTTAATTATTTTAATAGGAAATAGGTCTCAATGTGAATCAAAGCATTCACATCACTGAGGGCTTGTCTACACTTACCGGAGGATCAACACTGCGGCGATCGATTTAGCAGGTCTTCACTAGACCCGCTAAATCCACCTGTGATTGAGAAGAGTAAGGGGAGTCAACATCATGTAGTGTGGACCCCACGGTAAGTAGAGCTAAGCTACATCGATTTGAGTTACACTATTCACATAGACAAGGCCTAATTGTCTGATCTTCTACAACTTTTTTCTTATAGAAAATCTGAAGTAACATGTTTCTCCAGAAACATTTTTTAAAATGAACAGTATCAGACATTATAGAATTTAGACTGGCTGTTTGTCCCATAGTTACTGTAAAACAATATTATAGAGATGCTTCTACAGTTTTATCTCTTCTCAGCAGTGTCAAACTGGTGTGAACCATAACAGGTAGGCTAGTATCAACAAGCCTAGTTTTTGCTAAAACATAAAATCAACAGAAGTTTGAGGCATTTGTTGTGCAGACCAGACCCATCCCAAAGCCATGTTCACTGGCCCTGACAAAGGGTAAAAATAGCTTCATATCCCTGCTGCCAAGTCCTCACTGCTACTTTTAGCAAGACAGCACAGGTATGTCTACACAAGCTGCAGCGAAGACATAGCCTTCCACTGCAAGCACAATTCTCTCAACTAGTAAGGATTTATTGGACAGACTGACTGTTGGCCCTTTCCATTGTAGCAGCTGTCAAAAATCAACTTTTCACCAAGAGTTGGTAGGCCCTGAAATTACATCTGCTTGTGTTACTGGTGCTCTGATGTACTTAGTAACTGTATAGAAAGAGCGGAATTGCCCATTCTCATGCATTAAAAACATTTCTTTGGTAAAGGATTCTGGAGCCTTTAGGGGTCTCACTGCTGAAGCATGTGAATCATTTCTGAGATAAGAGCCTCATTTTAAAAGATTCGGGAGAAGCACTTTTCCATCCCACCCACTCATAGACAAGCTAGTGCAGCTCTGAGGAGCCTTGACAAAGTACATATTCTGAAGATGCTTGTAAGCATTACAACATTTCAGTGCTGTTCTTTTTTATACAGGTTAGCTTATGATGTAAGAGCTGTTAAAGTTAGCACATGCTAGTTTAGAAGCTGGTTGTGTCTTCCTTCCAACTTTGCCTGACTGACAAGCAGACGCAAATTACCAAAGGGGCTGGTTTTGGCTTAAATTGTCCTTAAAGCAGTTTTGTTTGTTTCATTCAAACTGACTATAATCTAATAGTAAATGGCTCCGCCCTGCAAACAACCCTACTATTAACATCTTAATTAAACTTGAAGCATCACATAAAAGCCACTTTTGAGGAGCTGCCCAGCTTCAAGCTCCCCTTTTCACGTTGAGTGTGACAGCCAGTCATCCCAGAGACTAAGACCTTATAGCAACACTACCAGAAAACGAAGTCTACTGTACATATAAGTCCTGCTCTGTGTCTATTTGCAGTTGGGAAAGGACGCACCCTGGCCATGTTACTGCTGGACATCTATGGTACTTGCTGATGTGTTTCACTTACCTCAAGTTTCTTTTAATAAAAAGAATCTGTTTAAGACTCTTTTCATTGCTACAAGTGGAACCATGTATTCCGTGCGTGGGGGTTTTGGTAAGCACTCCCTCTTTTAGCTCTAACTCAATTCAATGGAGGCGGTTGTTTATGTAGAAGACATTAAAGGTGATATTGCACCAGACTGAGTTCTGAGGAAGTTCAGATCCAGGCATGTGACCCTGCCGCCCAAAAGCTTGGCTAAATTCACATCTAGAGCTGAACTTCGAGGTTCAGGCCCATTACTTCAAGAGTCTGGGCTGCTAATTCCGCTAGTGGGTTTGCATGGCCACCCCTTTCATTTCAACTTGCACTCAAGCTCCATAGATCACACACAGTTTTAAAATGCGTACTAAGTCTGGGTAGTTCATGCTTAAGCCTGGGAAAAGACTGTACTATGTAACACTTAAAAGCACACGTATTTTCACCTGTTCTCGTAAGTTGCCAGCCCTTTTCTTCATTTCATCCCCTTTGTAACTTCTCACGCCGTGAAGCCAGGGGCTTAATTTGTCGCATCTATCGTTCCCATGATATCAAACTACTAAAACGTGAATGCAGGAAAATCTGAGTTCTGAAATAGAAAAATGTTTATAGTCAAACACAAATATACTCAGTGGAATATAAATCAAGGCAACATCCAGCACATTAACATTCTTGCCTTCTTGTTACAACACACAGGAGCTGATACTCCTCCATCAACACCTGGCTTTAAGAATGGTTGAACATTTCCCAGCGAAGCAGAAGGGGAATGAAATCGCACCTTGCTTTAATTTCACTTTTCTTTTTCACATGATCAGTTACGAACAGTTTTTACCACACTGGTTTGTGGCAAACTACCTAATAGATGCTTTAAAGTGCTAGGACTAATTCCTGTCCTAGATTTAAATCAATCTAGTGTTTTCCGGGCCTTGAAGCCTGTGTCTGCTTTACCTGTATTGGTAAACTAAGGGCAGAACAGTTAAGTCCACGTGTCCGTTCTCACTGCAGATAGAGAGAATGCCATGAGCAGTGTACACCCACTATACAGTTTGACTATAAATTTATTTGAACCCTGAACCAACTCCTACACTAGATATGCATTCACAGAAACTCCCACCCAGAGCTTCTGAAATGGAATTGCAGATATAGCTAATTTAAATGTTTCCCCCTGCCAGCTAAGTTACAAACATAAATCCAATACAGACTTCACCCCACACAGGGTTTTAAAAATCTCCACCTCTAATTAATGGTAAGTATTTAACACAATTTCCAACTAAATTGTATCAACCCAGCAGTTCCAGTTATTTTCACGCATTTCTTGAACCAGAATCCTGAGGGTTAAAGAGAGAAATCACCTTAACAATCATAATAGAATTTAGAGGGGAAAAAACCTACTGAACTCCAGAAATGCATTTAAAACTCTTTAGCCTAAAATATCTACATATTCAAATGCCAAGAAAAGTGCCAAAGCTGTAAGCTTTCAAAAGCCCAAGATCAAAGTGCTATCATCTTTTAATTTAAACCTTTTGTTGCATCAACAGTCTCAAGAGGGATGAGAGAGATCAAAATAAAAACTGAAACAAACTGTGGCTTTGTAGCTGTTTTTGTTTTAGTCTCTTCTCTCAATTTGGGCCACAAAATAGGTCAGCTCCATTACTGATCAGCCTTCCCACAAATATTTAAAACAAATTGAATTGCACACCCAATACCCATCACAATTACGCCAGGCACAATAACTAAATTAGCAATTCAACAAAATAATTGGAAATGCGATTCTCTCTATTCCACAGTCTCCCTCGGGGGTTTAGCCGATCTATGGGGGGAAAACTCCGCTTTACTAATTCTGCAGCTAATTAGAGACACACTTGTAAATGAAGTTGTTTGTCTGAAACTTGAAATTCTCTGCTGGGGGAGAGGAAAAATTCAGACCCCCCCCCACCCCCAAAACACACACACACACACCCCTACCTGATCCACAATGTCTTTAAAAGGCTATAATGCACATACAGCTAGGAACTAATACGCAGATATATCATGAATTAATAAGGAATTAATATTCTGTTGGGAAAAATCTTACTCACTGTTAATTGGTAGTATTAGGAAAACTTACTGGAAACCATTCTGGTATCACTGTCCTTATTAATAACCATTTACACCTTTTGACCGTAAAATAGTCCTGCAATGAGAGCGGGAGCATTTTCTGCTAACTCTCCACAGCACCCTGCCTACCTTTCTGTAGAGACAGGGAGTCTATGACTAGCCACAGCCAGGTAGACAGTGGTTCACCAGCTATTAGGAAGCATTGTTGTAGAGAGCAGGAGTCAGAAGCCTGGCTCCCCTTCGATTTGCTGTGTGACCATGACCTGGTCACTTGATTTGTTTGTGCATCAATGTAATCCTCTGTGAACTAGACCTCGTACTCACCTGTGGTGGGCACAGTTAGTGTGCAAAGTCCGAAGCCTGATACAAGCTCGGTATTACCACCACCACACTAGTGAGTAAAAGGAAAATGGGACTGGTAAAATTTGCCTACAGACACAGACTTTTACAACCTCCAATATAGCCAGACCCTGGCAAACAGAAAGATTCACTTAATTCCTTTTCCAACTAAACGCATGCCCCACAAGAATCATGCCCTACAGAGCATTGGGCAGCCACCATTAGCCCAACATTGGAATGGAAATCAGGACTAAATATTTAATAGAACAGCAGTGGCTGGGGTAAGTTTCTATTAAGGTTTGAATTTTGCAGGCCCAGAGAGTCTGTGTTTAGGGGAGACCCAGGAAAAAAAGACTTACAATATGGAATTTACAGACCAACCTGAATTCCAGAACTTTGAGGTACTTTCTGAGCATACGAAACACTTAGGCCTTGGGTAATTTGCCCTTTTTTTGCTGTCGGAATAAGCTTTGCGTCCTAGCCGGTCTCTGCAGTAATTCACATTGACCACAACACCACCTCCTAGCGAGGCCAGAGCTGATTAACTGCAGGCTGCCCTACCACTGGACTCAGCCACATAACCACTCGAGGCACTCCTGTAGATGGCTCTGATTAGCCCCTACTCAAGAATTACACAGGCTGTGTTTCGGCTGCCAGCATATTCAGATCCTGGAAACGTACCATTTGCACATCAGGAATAAAGAACTGACCTTACCAGCAAGGTTAGCAGATGAAACGGGGTCCTTGCAGGCTAAACCTTCCTTTCTAAGGTTCCCTTGATAAATCACACTAACCAGGTAGGGGGAAGAAAAAGCCTGCTTAAATGCTGATAAGTAAATTCAAAAGCATCCTTAGTAGGGCTTTGAATCACTCTTATCTCTTCAAACAATATGAACTAGAAGTTATCACATTTGAAGTGTTTCATGTAACCCTTTTAACACTACCTCCAGCTACGACTTTAAAGGACACAGGAGTCAAACTGAAAAGGAATTTTAAACCAGGCATGTACAGTCAGCCCCTCAAGTCAAAGCAACGTAATCCTACGCCGAGAATAGGCGCCGGACTTGTTGGAGCAGTAATGTAGGATACGCATGTCCGGCTTCCTTTTAATGGTTGCTCTAACTGCGTAAGCGGCGTGAAACCATTCCGCCGACACCAACTTGGGAAGCGGCTCATTTCCTCCACTTGATGTCCCTCAGAATTGTGGTGATTAAATCATGAGATTTTTTTGTAAGGTCGGAGGCTTTCAGCTATTCAGAAATTAAGTGGTGGTATTGTTCAACCTGCGGGGAAAATACTTCTGGAGTGTCAGCCCACGGTCTTGCTGGTATGTCGGGGTGCGGGGAGAAATGACCCAGAGCTGCTGCTGTATTGGCTTATGAGGAATGATGTGGAAGAGTCCGTTGCCTTAGCCACCGCAGACCGTAAGACAGATCGCAGTGACTGGCTGTGGCTACTTTTGCAGCCTGTAGGTTTAGGACCGTCAGGCATGCTCTGATGTGTAGGCTACATTTCTGTCTACTCAACATTAGCCTGTTAATTGACACGACATTGCTCAACACTAGGACACTGAAGCCTGCTTCCATAAAGCCAGCCTTCCCTTTGCTCACTGTGACCTACATGTGATGTAATGCTTCTCCTCTTCCTCCTAGGACACAATACAAATATAGAGGCTTTGTCCACTCCCCAAACAGCATTAGTTAAGTAGCACTGCTTACCCTTGATTCTTTGTGGCTGGATTTCGCCCCTCCGCCAGCCTGCCCTCGTACATTGCAGGGAGAGCTAAGACTGTTGCAAACTTCACAGCATAAGGTTATTATTTGGATCCAGGAATAGAAAGACCAATAGTGACATCTGCTAAGTTTCTCCCTGGCAAATTTTGACAAGTCAGAGCCCTGGAAAGATAGGAGAAAAAAAATATATCAATGTGCTCCTATGCTACCTACAACGACTGCTTTGCTGCGAGTGGACATCAAGATTTATTCATCTACGCTACATGCATTTTGTAAGACAAAGTCAATGCTCACCTGGGCACAGATATTTTATAAACCCAAGAAAAATGTTATATTTTCTACAGGGGACAATAACTCTCCTCCACCCACTGATCAAGAGGGCCACAACTGGACGGTGGCCAGCGAAGGATCACGATGCAACATGTTGATAAGTTTCAGCACTGGCATTTCCGTATTGTTATGCAACGCACGGCTGCTCTCTTTTCTTGCTGTGGCGCTAGACAACTCTCAGGTGCCTAGTGCAAAGGAGATAAGGAGAGCGGGGCCAACTTATTTTTGAATCAGCTGAGCAATGGAGCTAATGGCTATTGCCTGGCTGCAACGTATTGTAAAGGTGAATCTTTGGAACACTCTGCTCAAGTTTACTTAAAGCAAAGAACTGATCCATTTTCTAATTCCATATTGATTATAAGATCAGTTTGATGCAACTGAATCTATTCGTGTTTAACCAAAATATAAGTGCCTTTACCCTGTAACGAAGAGAATGAATATTCCATCGCCTGAATTTTCCATCAGCCTTCAGTATGAACTTGAAAAAAAGAAAATATTTTGCTTACTGGTAACTTTCTGTTCTTCGTGTTCCTTGATACTGGGGCGTAGAGTTTGGATCACGCCATCCTAGTGTTCCTAGCAAAATAAAATAAATCAACTCCACACAAAAGGAAAGGGATGTTTCATTCGTCATTAAAATTGCCTCTGAATTCAGTCCTGATAACAGGTCTGAACTCATTTAAAAATCAGCAGTAGCCCCACACACAAAAATAAAGTATTCGATTTTATTAAAATGCAAATCAATCAACTAATCTGTCTTTCAGGTAACAGTTCAATAGCAGGATCCGTGTCAATTAAAATAGTTTCCAATTTATTCTTTGCTGGAAGGAGGGTGGTATCCTGAATTCTAAAACCGCCTTGTATGATTATGTATTTTATACCATCTCTGCTGTCTCATACCCTTCATATGTTCTAGCTAATTAAGCGTATTTTCTCCAAATACTTTGGAGTAAGTGATATTTCAGAGTCATGCAGGACAATGTCCCAATAGTGGGGGGAACCCGATACTTCCATAAATTCTGGCATACTGTCGTAGGTATAGAAAGCCAGTACTCATGTCTTTCATCCACCCGATTAGGTGACCACAAGTTAACAAATTACATATAAAATACCCAAGGAGGTTATGTTATAACCAAAGCTGAAAGAGCTCCTGCTGAGATGTACTAGTTTATAACTGGCCTGATTTCCAGCAGTGCAGAGCTCCCAACAGCCGCCACTCAGGTAAAATCAGGCCACTTATTTAGGAAACTACACATAATATTTGGCCAGTGCTTTCACCCAACCCCCACTGGATGAGCATTCAGAAGTTCTAAAGAAGGGAACGCTTTTTATAATCCTTGTCTTATTACAGACAAACTTGAAAGCAACACACACACAGTTTTAAGTGATCGAATAAACATGCAAAAAAAACATTACGTACCTTTACGTTTTTGTAGAAGTGCTTTGGAATTCCTCAAGATAAAAAGCACTATGCACATGTTATTAATTGTCCTTATTAATTTACCACTTACTACAGCAAGCCAAGGAACTGAGATAAGTTCTCAAATTCAGATGGAGAATATATCACTAGCTTTGCAATCGTCTTTGTTAGGATCACCTTGTCAATGCGTCAAGATGTGACTGATGATTCTATGCTTCTCTACCAATTAAAACAGGAGTGTGAGAGCCAGGACTCATCTCACCAACTGACCTTGTGTCAGTGGCCTCTTCATTTCTCAGTTAGTCCATCTGTGAAATGCTATAACAATGCTTACCTACCTTTAGGGGTGTCATGAGATTTAAGCAAAGTTTGCAGAACTCTTCAAGATCCTGACATGACAGATACTCTGTAAATGTAAACAAAATGAACCAAAAGAATACAGACTCCTTCGTTGTGCATTAAAATAAATAACAGGTTAAAGACTTTAAAAAAAAACCCATTGAAGAGAGCTGCTTAATTAAACTAGCATATATCCCTCAAATCCACATTCAGACACACCGGATGCATTCACTGCACTGACAAAACTTGGTTAGTCCATTTACAGGCTATTTTAATCAGATTATTTAAAGAACAAAACAGAGACAATGTAGTTAAACAAGTCAATGCAATGGCCGTCTTGTTGTTATACTACAAACATATACACACATTATTTATGCAAGATAATCTTCATCTGAGATTGGTCACAGCAGGCTAATAAATCCCCCTTATGGGGATTTAATTTTCAGCTTTTGACCTTCTGATGAAAAAAAAAAAAAAACAAGTGAATCATCTCCTCTTGCCAGATTTACGCCGGTGCTAACCTCTGTAGAAAGCGGGTCACTAGTAGAGAGAAAAGGAAGAGGCCTCAAAGAATCCTGATCAGCAAAAATAACTGCGTGCACCATCAATGCTGAACTGAAAATTCACAAACATTTTCCAATTGCAAAAATATCTCCGGTCATGTGCATGTGTTCAGCTGGGAGCCGTTCCATGACTGACCTTTTATGCATAATAAGCAGTCCTTTTGGAAGCCCAGGAGTTTGGACTCTCTGAAATTCAAGGTAACCACGGATGGGGAGCACCTTTTTCCGGCCACATTAATGGCATTTTAGCCATCGTGGCTCAGACAATGCACAGCTGCAGCATTCTAAAATACTGCCGCAGAACCGTGCATTTCAAACGAAGGTCCAGGAAGTTGATTTAACACAAACGTAGGTCCCCATTCTGCAGTAGGATATGCTTAAACAGCCACCTTCGGAGCCCCACTAATCTCAGTGGGATTCTAGAAAGGCATAAGGGTCTACTCGTGCAGATAAGGTTGCAGGATCAGGGCCACACATACAAGATGATCAAAAAGGGAAGGGCATTGTATGTTCTTTAATTGGCATGGACAGATTCTAAACTGAATTGCAAAAAATATATGGGGGTGCCCTCTTGCCAGGGTACATTTCCTTCTTAACTCTGCTTTGTACTGCACAATTCAGCAATGGGGTCTGCATGAAATAAAATAATCCTCATCAAATTACAAGACATCCTAACAGACAAGACAAGACACACTTTGAGTGACCTTAAAAAGGAAGGGTGCTGGCGCTTCCCTGCACATGACATAATCCAATTCACTGCGGTCTTGAAATCTTGAAAGTTGTGGGCTACCACGTGGCTAGATGCTATCTCAATGAACCCTACTGCGGCCATCACTAAGTGAACCACAGGAGTAGAGCTGTGATCTACAAACTGCCCAGATGTGACAACGTGGCTGCAGGTTCCGGCAGCACCGAGGCAAGAGTCCAAATGCAAACGAAGGATCCCACTGGGCATTAGCCAAACGCAGAGAACAAAAGTAAGTGTCTGTGCATATGTTTTCCTTCTGCAAAGGCTTGATGCTAATTCTGCTTGGGTTCTTCGGGATGCGTGATTTTGCCAAACAACGATCGATAAAGCTCCGTCCTGGGAAAAAAAGGAGGGGGGGGGGAAGAGTAACTTTTCAAGGTCAAATTGGAAGCAAGAGGCAGGCAGCGCTACCATCCGCCGCTTCAAATGAAAAGGCCGTCGTATAATTAAAAATGCATTCAACAATCTTTATTAATACATACAAGTGTAGGGAAGAACTTGCGTGCGACCAATCACATGCAGTACAGAAATATGTAAATATTTCGGTGTGGCTGGATACCATCTCTTTAGGGAATGAGGTTTTCTATAAGTTTGCCCTTTACAGACAGCCTCTTCAAGTAAGAAAACAAGATTGAATATTTTAATAGGCTGTATGAGAATGCAATGCCATAAGGAGGATTCAATCAGACAGCCTATGTGGGGCTATAATTTAGTTTTCATACATTTCTTGGATTTGACGGTACTTGAAAAACAATGAAAATGACCCAGCAACAAGATTCCAATTAATATCACATATGCAGCAGTTCTGATAAGAGAAGCAAGTTTCCCTTTAAAAATCACCACATCACAGGCTGGTTTTCTTTCTTTATTTTTAAGCTTAAAACCTAAGTAGCCAGGGAAGGTAGATGGAGGGGGAGCGGAGGGAAGGCAAATTTATTTACAAACTTCAGCTGCAAAACAGAAATTCATGTGGTCATGGCAATCTAGAGAACCCTTAAGGAAAAAGCATCCAGACAGGGCTACATTTTGAGTTCCCGGTTGTACTCAAAGTAGAGAAGACACAGAGATACAGCAGATAAAACTCATAGAAGAGAAACTACCTCCTTGCCCGTGCTGCTAACATCATCTAGGATTATTAAAACAAAGAATTTTAAACAAGATCAGAGGTGACGATCACCTAAAACTCAGTCAGGCCAGGAACTGTTCAGCCATGATTTCACTGGGACATGGGGTGGAGAGGGACCGTTTTCTGAGAGATGGGACCAACATATGAAATTCAGACTGGTCTGAAATTTGGGCCCCTGTGTCTATTAAAAATGTAAGTTGTTTCCTAATAAATACTATGCACATGCATGTCGCACACTAGACTATAATGAATGATACATTTATACAGTAGACAGAGACTTTTATCGGCTGTAGAGGAAAGCACTTATCTGTATGCTCTATCCCCTTCATCTGATTTCTCCATTTAGACCGGAACTGCCTATATCTGTGTACACTTGCAGTCTTAGCACTAAGGGGCAGCAACCTTAATAGGGGCCTCTAGCTGCTACCGGAATACAGAGATGATTGTTAATACTGTGACACACGTACAGTGTGTATATAATTTTTTTACACACACACACGCATGCACAAGGACGTATTACATAAACAGCATTCCCAAACAGCCCTAAAGCATGGCTTGACATCACTTTCCTGAAGATAACAACTAACAAAACCACACAAGAAATGCACCTGCACTTTCACAGAGCAATACAAGGGAGAGGCGGGACACAGCCACTTACTGTAAGCTTTACGGAAATTTCTTGGCCACATTTCCCACACTGTCTGCATTAGAAACACCCAGGCAGATGAGATGTCTAACACTGGCCCAGGGCCTCTGGCTAGCGTGCCAAATGTCCTCCACACAAGAGACCCAGACTCAGCACTGTTCCCTGCAACACTCAGGGAGTTGAAGAGCTAAATAGGCAATCAATTCAATCCCAAAAGGAAGGGAGCTTATTAAACTACATTTAGACAGATTTAACATTTTAAAACCCCCGTGTGTGGGACAGCACAGGAGGCCACCATCTTGGCTTCACTGCTAAGTGGAAACAATGAGAGGCAGGTGGCCATTTTGAAAACGGGCATATTTGCTACAGGCAATTTTATCTTCACTCCTGTTGAAAATGATCAGAGACGGCTGCCATTTTGAAAAAGGTGAATTCGTTGGGGAAGAGCATTACGCATCAGCCAGCCTCTGCTAAAGAGGCAACTTTAAATTACGAAGAACAGCAGCAAACAATGGCCGTCCATCCTGAAATGCTATCTTCAAATCTAACCATTGCATGAGATTTCAGTCAGTTTTAACCATAGGGGAAACTGGGAGAACCAACATTATCTATCTCATTAGTAAGATCATTCAGGACAAAAAGGTCAGATACATGGTGC